CAGGTGCTAACAAGTAGCCGAACACAGCAAGCCAACTCCAGCCACAGAACACTGTGGCTTCACTGAAGATTCAGAAACTGGAGTTACGAGATAATTCTGAAAGTAGGGAAAAATATCAGCATTTTTTGAAGGTCTTTAAGAAGTCATTAGGTCCGCCACACATCCAGAAAACTATCCTCCCCAATCCTGAGGGTTTCCTTTCTGGAGAAGCTGAAACACAGAGGCTCTATCTAGTCTTGGGGACCCAGGCATAGCTCAAAGTGGGAGTGAGATGCCACACTTAGAGGAGTAACAGAATAAGTGAAAGTCTTAAACTTCCTGTCCTCTTCCTTTACTTACCTCCCAGACTCTAGCTCTGGGCAAAAGGCACAGCCTAAGAGGAAAGGCTCATTGATACTGACAACTGGGAGGTTCTTCAATAAAAATCCTGTCTCTGCCTAACACCCTATAGGGAAGCTCCCCAAGGGGTAAACTTTAAACAAACACACAGACTTCAGTTTTTTTTTCAGTAACTCTCTTACATGGGAACAGATAGTATGTATGTATCATCAGACATTTGAGGAAAGCCTAGAGATAAAACAAGATTAAAGAAAATAATTTAAAAAAAAAAATAAAAACTAAAACACAGGAATCAGAGACAATGCAGAGAGCAAAAGAAAACTTAAAAAAAAACTATTATCAGAGAAATTAGATACAATATTGTATCCAAAAAACAAAAACAGAATGTTCTAAAATGAGAACATTCGGAGATCTCAGTTAAAAATGATAACCAAAATTTAAAATTCAATAGAAGAGTTGAAAAGTTCAAGATGTAGGAAATCTCTCTGAAAGAAAAAAAAAAGTCCAAAAGATGAAAAAATTAGGGGATGAGCCTGGAATAGAAAATATTTTGCTTATAGGTGTTTCACAAATAAACTAGAGAAAATAGTGGAGAAGAAACACTACACAAACACTTCCCAGAATAGGACAGCACATTTCTAGACACACAAGCTTTGATGAGTATCCAGCAGGGTAAATTTAAAAAGATCCTCAGTTATGACTGAAATTTCAGAATTCTAGGGACAAAGAATAGAACCTAAAAACCTCTCAGAGAAAAAAAGAGGTCACATATAAAGGATCAGAAAAGCACTAGGTATCTTTGCCAAGAGGGCTGGAAGCTAATGGATCACTACGTTCAGAATACTGAGAGAAATTTATTTCCAAGCCAGAATTCCATACCCAAATTATTAATCAAGTAGATAAAATAAAAACATTTACACACTGCTGAACGATTTACCTTCCGTGTACCATTTCCAGAACGTAGTGAAGGATGTGTTCCACCAAAATGAGAGAATAAACCAAGAGGAACTAGGGCATCCAATAGGAAGCAAGAGAAAGAAAATGCCCAGGACGCAGGTGAAGGAAGGTCTCAGGAAGACTGCTGTGCAACGAGGCCTGGAAAAAGAAACCAGTCCAGATTGATGCTGGACAGAGGCTCCTGGGGAAAAACAGGAACTGAGCATCAATGAGTTTCTGGTAGATTGCATTTAAGAGTGTTTACAAGGGAGCAAAAATCATACATGGTGGGAAGTCAAAGATTACATCTAAATCAACAGGAATATACCTTGAAATACAAAATACCATAAAAAGGCTGTTAAAAAGAGGTAAAAGTGGATGTCTCTAGTTAATGGAAAGGGAGTGGGCAAGAGACTGACTTTTTTTTATTCTGAGGTTAAAGTACTATTTGGCTTTTCAATCTATGTGTGTATATTATTTTCATAAATGTAAACATGTAAGCAATAATTTAAATAATTCTCAAATATATTTTAAAAACCCTAGATGAAATCCACCTACTTGAACTTTCCAGCAAGTTCTTTGTTTTTGTTTTAAATTGGGAGGAGAATTTAGTGTATCTTTAGCAACCAAAAATCATAAAGTATAATTTTGATAATATGCTTTTAAAAATTCATAGATCCTAATGCTTCAGAGTATAGGCTTTGGAGTCAAATGGCCTGCATTCAATTCCTGGCTCAATCACTTATAAATTACCTTGGGCAAGTTACTTAACTTTTAAACTTTGTGTCCCCTTCCTTTTCTTACCTCCCAGACTCTAGCTCTGGGCAAAAGGCACAGTCCAAGAGGAAAGGCTCAAAATTTGAACATAGAAACCCTATAAAATAATAATAACAGCAGTAATAATATCAAACCAAAAACCCTCACAGAATACATAACCAAATTAGTCTCTGAAGGCACAGGAATGGCTCTTTGCCTTACCTTGCTGAATTCCACATCTCTTCATAACGTATCTCAATATTTCACTATTTATATTCTCAAGCAGGAGCTAAAGCACAAACTAAAGCTCATGAGATAAAGTCTAAGTCCTGCTGTTGGTCTCTACAGAATAAAATGCTAGCAAACTAGTTGCAAAATAGTCACATTACTTACATGCCAACAAAACCTATAAAAAGTTTAAAAATATAAACCATATTCAATAATTCACGTTCTCTTAAATGTGAACTCAAATCATTTTAAAAGCATTGAAACCAAAAGGGACCAATTTAACAGAATACTGCCTTTGGAATCTGGTGGTTCTGAGCTTGAAGCCCACTTCACCTTTTACTATGACTAGTTACTAGTTACCGCATGGGATGATTGTGAAAATTAAATGAGTTAATATGTCCAAAGAACTCTATAGAAGATGCTTCAAAAGTGAGAACTGCTATCATTACATTACTATTGTGTTCTAAGAACTACAATTCAGTCTACAACTGACTCATTCCCAATATCCTGGTTCCTCTAGCTACTGCTCTCTGTACTTTAGCTATAAAAGTTACTTCCCTACCAAAGAGAGAAAAACTCCTTCGAGGAAGGTGATGTAAAGACAATGAGAAGTCCCAGGTGTACTCCAAAACAACACAGGGAACAAGGACTGGGTAACCCGTCATCATTAGAGGTCAGTTCACGTGTGGCACTGGCCACTTCCAAGTGGCCACTTCTTAATAACAAGCCCAATATAAACACTCATCAAAGGGCAGACAGACAAAGAAGACAAATAGGCAAAGAAGTTCAAATTTCTGTACTCATGATTCAATTCAGAAGAAAATACACAACCAATAAATAAGACATGACTGGTTCAACTAGCCCACTTTTTGTAACATTTTAAATTGTTTATGTTACTCTGCAGTTTTTGGTAGTTACTGACACTAATAAAGTAATTCTTTAACTTATTTAGATATCCAGTAAGAAAGGAGAAAGAAACCAAGTATTAATGTAGGATGGCAAGCTGGGAAGCATAGCAAAGCTTCTAGAGAGACTCAAGAAAAACCTCTATCTTCCCAAGAAATAATAAATGACTACAGAGTGGTATCTGTTCTTTCTATACCACTGATGTACACACTTCATAAATTCGGTCCTTGAGATTATCAGGAAATTTACAGAATGTGTTCACACCATTAAAAATATAATGCAAGTAAAGAACTGTTGTCAGGTTCTGAGCTGTTTCTCTGCAGCCTCCTTCAGTGAAACCGACAGTTAACAGCATGTTGTTTAGGTATTAGCTCATAGCGTATAGGGATGTAGGTACAGGCTTTAACTAAATGTTGCAATTGCTTCGGTTGCTATGCAGCTTATAGTCAAAGATTAAGAAAGCATGTCAGTCATCCTGGGGGCCTGCCTGTAAATCTCCAGGAAAAATGTTTACAAGTATACTTTGCTTGAGATAATAGAAAAATGTAGCCAGTGAAGCAAACAGCAATGATTGGTTAAACAGTAACAATGGCCACAAGATGTTTAGTTTCCACCTTTTGCTTTAAAGATAACATCACAGACACAATCATGAGATATTGTGCAGAATCTTGGTTCCTCAACCCAGTTAGATCACCTGACCAGAGTGAGGAAGACTGCAGACAAGATGATGTCAAGTACTGAATTAAGCAGACTAAGGAATACTGCTAAAAGCTTGCCCCAGAACTAACCAATCAGTTTCATCCCTGACCTCTAATGCTCAATTTCTGCTTTTAAAGACCCATGATTAAAAACCATGGGGAGTTCAGGTTGTAAGCAATAGCATCCTGTTCTCCTAGCTTGTTGCCCTGTCAATAAACAGTTCTATCTTCTCTACTGCAAAACTTGGCGTTCAGTGTTTGGTTCTGCTGCAGTTAAGTTGCTGGACCTTCTTCCGGTTTGGTAACATCACCTACAATGCGCCAGACACTGTTATGTGCCAAGGATGATGCTGCAATATATGCTTCGTTCCTGCCCTCAGAGATTGGGGGTGGAGGAGTGGGGAGTCAAGTAAAGAAATCACTACTGAATCCCAGGCACAAGGGGAGCACGGACAAGCAACCTGTCCAGCCAGAGGGTCTCTTCCCAATTCCTACCTCCTATCAGTAACCAGCAGCCCAGGGTTAGGAACTTCGGGGACCTAGGGAACGCTCTTGGGCACAGAGAACCAGCAGCAGGAGCGTTCCCACTCACAGTCTGACCCTTAGGTACTCCCACTGCACAGCATATATACAAAGATATGTTGGTCATTAGGTTGTTCAATAAATATTAAAGACCACAAGTTCCCCGTGTGACTTTATACAAGTCACTTCCGGCACTGGCACTAGTTTCCTCAAGAACTTGAGACCCAGGAACTTTCCTCCCTTTAGATACAAGCGCTCCGCCCTCTGGCAGTGTGACTCCCAGTCAGAGAATCAAAGATTCTGAGGGGTCAGGAGTCAAAAGTGTTTGGAATTAACCACATTCCCCCTAGCTTTTTCGACCATGTGGCCTTCCCACCTCATTCATTTCCTCCACCGACCCTGAAAAACTGTAACTTTATTATTCGCTCATTTACGAAGCCTCTTCTACGTAAATTACGCTACATTTAAGATTAAAAAAACAAACAAACAAAAACAAACAACCTTGGGCCGACGCGAAATAAAAATCCCTGACCTTCACCGGAGTTCCCAATCTACTCGGGTGAGAGAATCAAACGTGAAAACAAGATTCACTATAAATAATGTACAACCACGCACACAAAGCTAAGGACACTGCAAAACCAAGAGTAGGAGAAATGAAGCGGGGTGAGACGGGCCCGGAAGCGATGCACGGCGGCTCAGCCACTCCAGAATCCCGAAGAAGCGCGCAAGCCAGGCGAGAGAGGTGCGGAAACGGAGCCGGAATCCTGCGACCCAAGGCCGGGGCCTGGGAAAGCCGCCGCCCGCAGGGAGCACCTGCGAGGCGGCGGGGGTAAGGACGGACACGGGCGGGGAGGTTGGCGGCGGGGCACCCGCTCCAGGAGAGAGGCCGAAGGGCCCCTCTGAGGGGCGCGGAGAGTGGGAAGCTCCAGGGGAGGCTCCCAGGGAGCCGATGCCGGGTGAGGGAAGCGGAAGGGGGGCGGGAGGCGGGAGGCGGGGAAACTGGCAGCCGAAGGAAGTCTGGGGTCGCCCGGACTAGACGGGACCTTCACCTGCGAATACGCGGGCGGCGATAGCCTCCGCGCACCGAAGCATAAAGGGAGCGCAAGGTAGCCGCTGGGTCCTCAGCTCAGCCAGCCACGAACCTACACCCTGGCCGCTGTCCCGCGTGCCTTCCCGGTGCGCATGCGCACGCCCAGCCTGCGCAGGCAGGCCTGGAATTGCAGTAGTGCCAGGGCGAGTCCGAGGTGGCACGGCAGGGTTGGGTTTGAGCATCTTCATCCCTGCCTAAGTACGGGATTAATTTTCAACTAAAAAGGAATTGTCTGCACCCTGTTCTTACTTCTAAACACCATCCTCCAATAAAAGGAGCCAGGGCTCCTTAGAGAAATGAGTGACTAGTACTGGAGCAGGGAAAAGTATAAGCTGAGTCTGGGGCATCCTGTAGCGCCAGAAGTAAGGAATGCTCAAAAAATAAAAACATGGAGGCATGTGAAAGGACGCAGGAGTCAACCCGAAAGAGCTCCCCATGATCAAACTTAGAACAATTGGAGCAACAAAATAAATTACATAGTATTGGACTATAACAGAGTATAAAATATAGTAGAGCCCATTCTGCTGTAATAAATAATTAAATACATTAATGGGAAGAAAAGATACATCTTGCTTATAGAAGAATTTTAAGTAATAATACTGTATCCAGACAGGGTATTATTCTCCAACCACCCCACCCAACCCAGAGTGTGGGTTGTGACTAGTGACTTCCTCCAAAAGAGTATCTAATGGGAAGGGGGAAAAATAACTTTACAGAGGAGAAACCTGACAAACACTACTCAACCATGAGATCAAGGTTAACATCAACAGTGATCAGACATGTTGATAGCCCCAGTCTAACCATGAGAAAAACATAAGACAAATGTCAATTAAGAAATATTTCACAAAATACCTCACCAGTACTGCTCAAAACCATCAAGATCATGAAAATCAAGGAAAGACTGAGAAACTGTCACATGTAATATGGTGTCCTGGATGAAATCCTGAACCAAAAAACAAGGATGTTAGTGAAGTAATTGTTAAATTCCCAGAAAGTCTTTATTTTAGTTAATAGTAATGATTAGTAACTTTTAGTTTTGACAATTGTACCATGGTTATATGTTAACATTAGGGGAAACTGAGTGAAGTATACTACCTTTGCAACTTATCTTCAAATCTAAAAATATTCCAAAATGAAAGGTTATTTTTTTAATGGAGGGAAAAGGGGAAATTTGATTATCATTACTGCTAAAGTTTTAAGATGCTATTAAGCCCCTGTGGAACCAAAGAGGCCGGGGGGGCAATGAAGTAGAGTAAGGATACTTCCTGGGAAGTGGTCTGAGGGAAACTCCTGTCAACCCTACTCTTGAATGGTGGGTACATGTATAAACATTTCAAGCTGAACACTTAAGGTTTGTTCTCTTTTCTGTATGTATACTCTCTATCACCCCCTTTCTCTCTCTCTTTGAAATTATATATATATATAGAGAGATATAGATATAGATATAGATATAGATATGTTTTTTTTTCTATTGGCTACTGCCCAACCACAGGAGTCCCACCAAGGGACTGGATGGACCTGGAGCAGGTAGCCAGACCACTCTGTTACCCACATGGGATGAGTTGTCCTGATCAATCATCAATGATGTCTACTGACAGGTTTTGATCTAAAGGGGGAAACGTGAACCTTGAGTAGAAATACATCTGCCAAGAAGGACTTTATATATATAAAATTCCCAAAGAGGAGTGGAAAAAGGAGAAACTTTATACAGATGAACAGTTTGCAATCCAGGGAAATGCAGCTTCAGGTGGAAACCAAAACAAAAGCATGCTCCTCCAAGATAAAGGGAAGACCACATTTTATAGAGAAAGTCCTCACTCAGGATCCCAATTTGTCCAATTTTATGTAAATGAGGTTTCCACATACGTACAGTTCTGATTGGTCATTATAGAGTAGTTCTGGTTGGTCAATTTAGATGCAAATTTAGCTATAATTGACAGAGCAGGTCTTAGTTCATTGATCAAAAGACAAAACCAGGAACTTCCTTATAATGGTTGATGCAGATGGCAGGAGCTGAATAAAGGAGGTTGAAAGCTCAGTCTGTGGTTTTTCCTGAAATGCAGAGTATGTGAGAGTCCTCTGTCAGCAGTGGCCACTAGAGTCTGGTTATAAATTTGGGCCCAGTTAACCATGAGAAGCCCTTCTTGGCAGATGTATTTCTACTCAGGATTAACCTTTCCCCCTTTTGATCAAAACCTGTCAGTAGACAGCATTGATGATTGATCAGGACAACCCATCCCATGTGGATGGCAGAGTGGTTCGGCTACCTATTCCAAGTCCTTCCAGTCCCTTGGTGGGACTCCTGTGATTGGGCAGTAGCCAATAGAATAACTAGGGCCATTTGTTTACAAGAAGTCTCCCAGCCATCTGTTAAACTCAAATTCTCTGAAGTTTGGTTTATGCTGAGTTAGCATAATCTCAATAGAATTTCTTTATCATATCCTATAAAACAGCTAGAACAATTCTGGAGAAGTTAAAGAACAAATAAAGGTACTCAATTTGTAACTACAAGAAAATTAGGGGCAATTGAAGAAAGATATTTGGATTGGGGGTAAAGGTTTCCATCATGGATTACAAACACCAAGGGGATGCACTGGCTTGATGTATCATTTCTATCCTTCGTGCAACCATTGCTCAAGTCTTCAGAAGGAGCTTTAGGTACCTGGTTATACAGAACATCAAACAGCTTGACAATGAAATATATTAAACTAGAAAAACAATGAATAGAACCATATGTAATCCAGACCTAAAAAGAATGTCAAGTCCAGTTGTAAGCCAGCTGAAAATATCAGAAAATTTAAATCCTAACCAGTTAGTGGCACTTGCAATGAAATTTTGCAAGTTTAAGAAACTTAGTTGTTTGTAATTCCATCTGGAAAGAGGTATTTATCGAGGTACAGCCAAAGGTATCATCTATGACAAAAACTCATCCTTGGGGCCTTTTGTGCTTCCTTTGCTCGGCCTGCTCCCAACTCTTTGGAGTGTACTTTCTCTTCTAATAATGGCCCTTGAGCCATTCTCTACTGCTCGGGCCTGCTTCTATTTCTTTGAAATGTATTTTTTCTTCTAATAAACTGTCCTTTTCTGCAGCTTTACCTCTCTGGTCCATGTCTCCATTCTTTGGTTCCACGAGACCACGATCCTGGTACACACACAATCACACACATCAAAAAATCCTGCTTCAGAGGCAAGCCAAGTGGTTCAGTTGGTTAAAAGTGTGAGCTCTGAGCAACAGGGTCACAGGTTTGAGTCCCACATGGGCCAGTGAGCTGTGCCCAAGCTGAGCTGCCGCTGAGCTGCCAATAGGTGGAAGGATGGCTCAGCTGGTGAGAGAGCACGTGTTCCTGACAACAAGGTTGCCAGTTCGACTCCTGCATGGGATAGTGGGTTATGCCCACCCGCAACTAAGTTGAACACGGCACCTTGAGGTGAGCTGCCTACAGGCTACCGGATGGTTCAGTGGTTAGACCGTGCACTCTTAGCAACAAGGCTTCCAGTTCAACTCCCACATGGGATGGTGGGCTATGCCTACCTGCAACTAAGATTGAACATGGCACCTTGAGCTGAGTGGCTGCGAGCTGCCAATAGGCGGCTAGATGGTGCCTGGCCTTGGAGCTGAGCTAGATGCGCCCTCCACAACTAAGATAGAAGGACAACAACTTGGCTGTTTCCCTTCACCAATTCCCCAACACTGCTCTCCTTCCCCAATTCCCCAATAAAATCTTAAAAACTAAAAACAAACAAACAAAAAACCCCAAACTCATCCTTGGGCAGCAAGCAAATAATCTAAAGCACTCCTGTTGTTGAGGACTACTCAAGCTAGGGAATCTCAAGATCTTTGTTGAGATCCGATGACTCTAGTGACTAAACGGGCTATTCTACTGTATTAACTGTTCTGGATGGATGTCACATCATTATATCTAATTGAGCAGTGTCAAGGTCAGTCCATGAGCCTACAAAATTTATTAATCTCAAAATTTCTACCTTGTCATCTTCTCAGAATGCCCAAGATTCAGCTACATTGAGGAAGAGTTATAAGGAGCTAACCTAGAAGCACAGTCTTACAGGCTTTTACATGTTTTCTAGTGATGGCATTCAAAAATTGTACAACTGGGCTAATTTACTTTATACATAAATGGGTGTTGGAATTTAAGGAAAGTTCCATTTACATCTGTAGGACTAGAATCATACTCAGAATTATAAAGAGGAATAATAATCTGTTTACCATGTAACTAGCTGTTTGTTAACTTTGTAATGGATAATAGAACAAAATCCTTATGAACATAATACCAATGCATAATAAATTGTACCAATTAAGTAAGCAGCTCAAATTTGTAAGGGTAAATACCAAATATCCCTGAATTTCTAAGCATTCATCTTCCAACACATCATCACACTCTCAGAGATGAAAAGGGAACAATTAAATTTCTGTACCAATTTTACCCATTTTCATGAATCATGATCCTCTGAAGGATCCAATAAACTGAATTTCTAGAATCCGGAATATTGATGATGCTATACAATAATCCTGTCTGCCAGAAAGCCATGTCTCTAGTTGAAATATATTTCTGGACCAATGATTGAGAAGTTAAGATCTGCTGCCAATGAAGTTAGGCTGTTCTGTAATTCTCAAATAAAAGTTTGACCTTCTCTATTAAATTATAATTCATTAGTGAATAGGACTAGGTCTCATTTTTTTAATGTATCCTCTATAGCATCCACCAAAGTGTTGGGCAAAGATATAGGTTCAAGGAAATAATACATGATGGGAGTTGGAACTGAATCAAGGGTGAATGTGGTCAAGGTGAAGCCTTATTTCCTCCAACATTCAAAAGGCAGTAACCAGAGTAAATCTC